TGGTGATGACGGACACGTGGCCTTAGGCAAACGAGTCAGGGTTTCCTAAATTTCCCCAAAATAAAACATTTAGGTGGCGACTCTGTATCTGGCAAAGTAGTCCATGTTTGGCACTTCTTTCAAAAAAATCTGTTTTCTCAAAACGATTTGCCGGATTTGGACTCTTTGGTTTAGATTAAGAACCGTGACAATTTGAGAGTTCTGAGCTGTAGTGAACCCAAATGAACTGAACGGGACCCATTCTCCCGGGGCGTTCGGGGACGTCTACACATTGCCCTATAACTTTTGTTGTTTTCGGAATTGATTTTGCAAACATAGATGATGTGAACATTCACAGTACTATACTAGGTAAACTAACATTAGTATACACTGATGTGAACATTCACATCAGTGCACAATGATGTGAATGGTGAGATTACTATCACTGTTGATTGTTGAATGTTGTTTGGTGCTTTTGGTTCCATCATCTGTTTTTCAGCCAATTAAATGTTCTTATTTGAACACCCAGGTCTTCCCAATAGATTTTATGGCAAGCGAAAGAGAGGCGAATCCCGTGCCAAAGCCAAACCTGATCAAACAGCTGTTCCTGAAAAAGTGAACATGAAAAAAGTTAACTATCGGTCAAATTTAACTGGATTGGTCAAACTGTTAAAAGATACCAAATTTATAAGTGGCCAATTGAAGTGCCTAGGAAAAACACCGTTTTGGCCATTATTTGATTGCTTGATCAGTAATGAAGTTGACCTCAACCACTGCATGAAATATGATGATGTCATTGTACGTATAGTGCAGACATTTAAGCCATCTTGTGGGAGGTTTTACATTGGGGATAAGAACATCCAGCTTTTTAGAAGCGATGTATCACTGATTTTGGGAGTGGACTGCGGCACAAAGTCGATGGACCTCTCTTATGGTGCAAAATCAACAACCGGCATCATACACCGGATGTGTAAGGATGTTAGTCGGTTAAGTGCTGCCAAAATACGAGAAATTCTGAGCGAAGCATTAAAGGGCACCAAGAAACAAGACAATGAAGAGGTCGCAAGATTAGTTTGCATGCGTCAAGCTCTTCTTCTTTACGTCCAGAGAAATAATTGGATGGGCTTTCTACTCATACATGGACCCATTAGACAACATGATCGAGTATGATTGGGCTGAGAGCATCCGGGCAACCCTGATGCGTTCATTGGGCCAAAACTATGGAAAACCAGGACGAGTCACCGGATGTGTGATGTTGTTAATGGTAAATCTCATAAAACTTATTCTATATTTAATATGAACATTGCTGATGTGAATGTTCACATTACTGGGCAATGGAATGGAAGTTGACATCAATGATGTAAACATTCACATTACTATTCAGTAATGTACAAGCATACATTAGTAGACACTGTTGTAAACATTCACATCAGTGTAGATTGATGTGATGGTAGCACCAAAACAAATTTGGAACATTCACATAACTGATGTGAACATTTACATTACTAGGCAATAGTGTGGAAGTTGACATCAATAATGTGAACATTCACATTACTGTTCAGTAATGTATAAACACACATTATTAGCTACTGGTGTAAACATTCACATCAGTGTTAACTGATGTAAACATTCACATTACTGGCCACTGGTATAAACATACACATCAGTGTTAATTGATGTGAACATTCACATTACTGGCCACTGGTGTAAACATTCACATCAGTGTTAATTGATGTGAACATTCACATTACTGACATTTGTTATTTGTTTCAGTACTGGTTGTGTGAGCATACAACAATCTTACAACCCCGCAACCCCAATGCCATTCCACGATGTGTAAAGTGGGACCTCACAGCCTTACATAGCAACATGAAGTCCATATCTTTGGCTAAGTTTGGTTTAAATGAGGTAAAAGTACAACCAAAAATATTGTGCCCATTCACATAGTCAGACAAGGAACTATCTAACTAACATAATGTCTCTAACTGCAAGTATATAGCAGCGAGCTAATGGCATCCCCAACTAAAGCAAAGATGTACCATCATACAAAATTGAATATGGAGCCCAAACCTGAGGTTTTGTCAAGTGCACCAGCAAAGCAAGATGAAAGCACTGATGATGAAAAAAAAGATAGTCAACACAGTGATGACAATGATGGATTTTCTGGCAATGTAATGGACCTAAATGATGTTGGAAATGACATCAACCCCAGCTTTAACACCCCCAACGCTGAGAGAGGTACCATCATAACACAACCAACTGAGCCAGACATTGTGGATGTACTTATAAAAGAAAACCAAAAGCTTAGGGTCTTGTACGACAATGGGAAGCGAAAGAATCATGGGAGTTGAGGGCAAGGGTGATTGCTGCCCTTGAAGCCAAACTATTTGACCAATCGGGCCCATCCAATATGGACATGGACATGAAGAATTGCATGAAGTGGAAAGATAAAGAAATTCAGCGGCTGACAAAGTTGGTCGTGAATTTAGAATGTGAAAAAACAATTCTTCAAGACCTTTTTGACGATTAGTCCGTCCACATTATCACTCAAGTTGAAGCACAAAAGGCTCATGACAGCCTTAACAAGCATCTCACTACAGCATTAGAACACATTATCAGCCCACTATCGAGGGTAAAGCGCATCAAGCAGAAAGTGAGGAAAGAGCACCGGTTAGATGAGTTTGAATACCCCAACTTGCCTAGTCAAAAGAAAGGGAAAGAAGCCGAAGAGCAATCCCATGCAGTCCAAATTGCACAAGATTTAGACAAACATCCATAGAAAAAGGAGCCAACAAAAAAAAAAAGTTAACCTTGAACAACAAACTCAAGGTTTGGGCCAGCATGAGCAAACTCAATAAGCAGAAGGTCCAAAATTTGCACAAGAACGGCGGTGATGAGTAAGTGATCTTACATATCCCCAACTGAATTTTTTTTTTCTCATGTTCAGTTCACATACATACTTAATAAATTAGATCATTTCATAAATGTACAATGTTGACATTAACATTTTCTGTAGTCACAATGCATAGGTTGCTAGTGTGGCGAGGGGACTCAAAGACTAAAGATGTGTATTTTGATGACATCATACATATCATCAAGGAAGAATCAATAACCAACAACGTATGGCAACTGTAAATGTGTACAAAACACAGACACACACAGACACACATAGACACACACACTGTAAAGACACTGTAAATATCCCTTTGTTTCTGCAGGTGATAGATGCATATGGTGAAATTCTACTTGAACTACAAGGGCTAGTTAACCCAAGTTTGGAGGATTCAACATTCATCTTTACAAGCACATGTTTGGTAACCACTAGACTTTTGCTTTGTTTATGTTTCAATAGATGTGAATGTTCATCTCAGCATTATATGCTTATATTGTTAACTTAAATGATAGGCTGATGTGAATGTTAACAACATAAAAATGACATATGAGAAGATGCACATTGACAGATGTGAACATTAACATCATTTTTAGTGAAAATTATATGCCTATTATGTTGTTAACTTAAATGATATACAAATGTGAATGTTAACAACAACATAATATAACAGGTGTGAACATTCACATCTGTAATACATTGCATGACTGTTTCACAAATTAATAGATGTAAACATTCACATCACTAATCAGTAACAGATGTGAACATTCACATCATTCACATCACTAATCATTGACAGATGTGAACATTCACATCAGTAACATCCTCACATTAACAGATGTGAACATTCACATCACTCACCATTAGCACATGTGAACATTCACATCACTCACATTAACAGACGTGAACATTCACATCATTCACATCAAACATTGATATAAATACTAGGTACATCATTGTACGCCCTTTGTGTGCAAAAAATCATGCAAGAGTACCTCCCGCACAAGAGAAACAAACTGATTGATGTACACATCAAGGAGTATCAAGGCCAGAGATTCTTAATCTTCCCAATACACGACAACTTCCACTGGACAATTGTTGTGTACGACATGATAGAGAATGTATGGAGGCATTATAACTCGCTGCGCCCAAGAGAAGGCATATATGACCCACATATTGACAAAGCACAAATAGTGGTAAGTGGCTGACACATATAATACTTGTATGATGTGTAATATTGGAACTTGGACGTATGCACTGTGTTGGTTGGTGCCTAATATGAAATTTCATTGTTGGCAGAGGGACTACATAGAGGCTTTGGTGCGCAACATTGGACCATCATCACCATTATGGACCAAATTATCAAGCCAAAATACTTCGCAAACAATCATATCAGTAGACATTTGTCCTCAGCAAGCATCAAATTCGTAAGCCTAAAATCGATTTGTACACATGTTCCACAACCATTACCCACCTAATTTTCAAAATCTAACAAGAATTTTGCATTTTTAGGGTGGATTGCGGACCTGCAGTTTGTTACATCATGAGGGCACATGTATACCGTGAAGACATTGTTGCCAGCCTAGATCGCTTTGTATGGTGTCAAATAAGAGACTCATTAGTACACATTTTTCTGAACCACAGAAAGATAGTGCAATGTGAAAACCTATAGGTGGGGGGTGTCCACCTATCAATGTTACCCAAATCTGTTATCCACATTGGAGACAATTTAGTGTCAATAGGTTTTACATATTGGAACAGACTAGCTTAATTGTAAATCAAGTCCATATAACTGCTTGTACAGATATTTTTCAGTCAATATATGTATATGCATTTTCAGGGCTATTTTGCGTTGGTCATGCACATTGAGATTGTATTTTTTTTTTCCTGACACATGATATGATGTGAATGTTCACATCACAGAATGATCGTACACTTTCTTATGTTTTAAACCATACTACATGGATATGAATATTGCTTAAAGTGTTCGTGTAACACAATATGACAGGTGTGAATATGATATTTCTTAACACAAGTCAATATTCACATCTATTAATTTGATGATGTGAATATTCACATCACAGCTTCTGATTATTTGAATGGCAGCAACGATGTCATGAATATTCACATCTTATGAGTTGATGATGTGAATGGTTATATTGATGTAAACGTTCATGTCTTCTACTTTGATGCTGTTAACAGTAACAAGAAAGTGAACATTCACACCACAGAAATGTTTAAAATTTCAACCCATGTGCAATTATTCACATAATGTGATTATATAACACAATTGTGAAAGTTTAACATCATGCATTCATCCAAAACACAACAACATAAATGTCAGATTGGTACCTTAAAAAATTAAAAACAAAACACAAATCAAATACTAATGCATTATTATGTTTGCCAATGCAACGTAATCTTATTGCAACACAATCTTTGCCAACCGCCACAATCTTATTTCAAAAATGAATATAAGAATCCAATGTAAAACACAATGTTGAAATGAAAAATGTACATCCTATATCGGTTTCGTGTATGATTTCCGATTATGGCTCCCCAACTTATCACATCTCCCGCACCTTATTTGCTTCAGTTTCTCGCCCCTTGATGGGATCCTATTCTTTTTCGGCCTTCCGGGTGGTCTTTTCACAGTTGGCGGGTATATAGTGAAGTCCGTGGGATCAAAAGGCGGCTTTCCACCGATGGTATAAGGAATATGGCACCCGAATAGGCTGCACGATATGTCTCTACATGAAAGTAATGTTCCACACAATCATTGAGATTGTAGCGGCTCTTCTGAATGGCAATAACAGCATGGTCACATGGGAATCTGTTGATTTTCCATTTGAAGCAAGAACATGTATGTCTCGCCACATCAACAGTAACAGATGGTATCGAATGAACTTCAAACACATCCTCATTGGCTTTGCTAACTTGCCAAGACCTGCTGTCATTGAACGAATCCATAAGCCTCGTTTCGAATGTAGGACAAATAAGCTCATTCCATTTGTTTGCTTGGTCATGCCATGCAGACATTTGCCGCATCAACTGAGTACAAATTGTGTCCACCATTTGAGTGATAGGAAGATTACGCGCTTCTTTAATCCAGTTATTAAATGACTCCGCCGCATTGGATGTCATCTCCCCATAACGCATGCCCCTGCACAACATCACAAACATTGTACAATACGGAATTTAACAGGTCTGAACATTCACGTTGACAGATGTGAACATTAACATCATTCCCAGTGAACATTATATGGTTATTATGTTGTCAACTTAAATGATCGACAGATGTGAATGTTAACAACAACAAAATATGACAGGTGTCAACATTGAAATTTGTAATATATTGCATGACTGTTTGACAAATTAACAGATGTGAACATTCACATCATTCACACCAATCATCTTTAGCAAATGTGAACATTCACATCATTTACATTGAACATGAAACACAATTAGAAGATTATTACCATTCTAAATTGAAAATTCACATCGCTACCATTCTAAACTTCACAAACAGAACACCTTAGGAAACTATTATTACTTGAAGTACGAATTTGCCCAGTGCTCAGGTGCCAAGTCCTTGAAAAATTATGAGCTCGTTGTTTACCCTCCTCTTTTAATTTTGCAAGCTTTTCATGGAACCCTACCACAGTTGGCTCGTAAGCACAGTCACCCAAACTATTTACTAGGTGATCCCTGAATCCATTATCAATTCCTTTCATCCGGTCTCTTAAATTACTCTTCAAGTGTTGTAAGCAATAACCGTAATGAACCGATGGGAACACCTTTGGCATAGCTTCTAACAGACCAAGATTACGATCCGAAATGAAAGTAATCTGGTGCTTAGCATCAACAACCTTCCCAAGTTCATGCAAGAACCACGACCAATTGGCCGTGGTCTCGAATCAACAATCACAAATGCAACAGGAAACAGACCTACAACACAACACCAATACACAACTCTTCACAATATTCCAAAGTGAATAGAAAATAGTATAAACGAAACAGGTCATGTGAATGTTTATATCTACATTGCCCTATTACTATTGTTATTTTTGGATTCAGGTTCGCAAACATCAACGATGTGAACATGCACATAACGACTATTAACAATTCATTGTTGATTGTTGAGTCATTGATAATGTGAACATTCACAATAATGTTCATTAATGGATCAACTGACATTAGTGTACACTGATGTGAAGCGTATACTAATGTGAATGTTCACATTACTGTCATTAGAAGACACAGATGTGAACATTCACATCAGTGCATACTAATGTCAATGTTCACATTACTTATAATTTCTCAATCACTCATTTGTCCAGACTATGCTGCAGAGAATGAATATCGACATGAATAGACAGCTAAAAAAAATACTAACCATTGTTTCCGTCTTTCGCCGTTGCCGCAAGTAGTTGACCTTTGTACTTTCCTTTGAGGAATGTTCTATCCAGGAATAATAAAGGCCGACAAGAATTGAAGCCAGAAATACACGCAACGAATGACACAAAGAAACGACAAAACTGTTGACTACTCGCATCATAGTCAATATTGACGTAACTCTCCGGATTGTACCGCATCATAGCATCCAAATACCACCGCAGCTGGTCAAACCATAATGAGTGATCTCCATGAATATCAGCCTTTGCTTTCTCCACACCCAACCATACGACATGGTAACTCATATCTAGCCCATAATCTCTCTTCAAAATAGTCACAACCTCACACGGCCGAGTCAACGGCTTGTCCCTCACAATTTCAGATATGGTACTCGATACCAAATCCGAACTAACTCGCAGATTCTTCGATGTTCAGACATCCGTACCACAACTATGCACATCAATAAACCTCTTGATGTAGAAAAAACCATTTGCTTGTTGTGCTCTACAATGTATAGCCCACAAGCAGCCTCTCTCCTCACGCATCGCACACACAACAGTAACTCTTGTTGTCTCATTCTTGACATAAGTAAACTGAAACCCACATTGGATGGCATACTTACATAAAACCTCACGAAATTCTTGTGCACCTCCAACAAATCATTGTCCCACATGCGTAATACCATTTGCCCGAGGGGCTAACAACAACACCTTCTCCTTATGGTGGCAAAATCTCCGTAGCGCATCAATATCTTCCTCAACCCCCACACACAGCGATCTCGAGCTACTTGACTGACCAATATCACTTTTCAACTCAACCATAACTTCTACATGTTGTACTCCCATTGATTTAGCAAGCAGTAACATGTTCTGAAATTCTTCCTCATTGTCCAAATCACATCTACTAATCCCAGGTAACCGATAGAACAATGCAATAGAACCAATAGACAACTGTCCCCATTTTTCACACAAACAGTCTACCAAACGCGAATAACACAATGCACGAGCAGCATTTATTACAGTGGTACTGCAACCATAAGTACACACCAACATCATAAAGGTATCTATCTCCTGTAAAAACACAACAACACAACAATCAACAATAATCCAAACCGATATGAAAATTCACATTGTGCAAAAATTAGATGAATACGTGTATAGTTCAAGTGTTACATCCATAATTCACATTAACAAGATGCGAATATTCACATTGATATATATACTCTGAATTATATCATCCATACAAAGCCTCATTAAGCAAACGTCAAAGTAAAGTGAGAACATCCACATTATTCACATAATATTACCACGATGTAAACATTTACATTGCCACATATACTCTGAATTATATCACCCACACAGAGTCTCATTAAGCAAACATCAAAGTAAAATGCAAACATTCACATTCTTCACGTAACACTAACATGATGTAAACATTCACATTGTTCCACAAACTCTGAATTATAGCAGATCCACATTCAACACTAATCTGATGACCTCCCCTCCACATGACCACGATGTAAACATTCACATTGATCCATAAACTCTGAATTATATCACTCACACAGAGCCTAATTATGGATACATCAAAGTAAAGGAATATTATAGCATTCTTCACATAATCTGAATGACCTCCCCTCCACAGTACCACGTACGATGCATGTAATTGAAAAACTAGAGCATCCGATCCATAGCAATCAAAAAACAGAGCATCTGATCCATCCTAGAAATCAAAACATAAAGTGAACATGTATTCATAACCAAAATGATACTAACCTTAATCATGCAATCCTACAATTGTCCAGAAACTCGAAAACAACCGCTTTGAAGTAGTTATACTCCAGAAAATGTGAGAACCGAACAATATAAAATTCGTTATCTTCACTTGAAAATCACCGAACCAGAGCAACAATGAAACCCTAGCACATCAAAGCCTCAGAACGATAAAATGATAGCATGCAAGATAGACACGTATTCATTTGAATTAGAATGATAAAAACTGCCAAAACTGAATCACGAAATCACAGGAACGTATTATGTATTAAGACAGTGTATATATATATAAGGCCATAATAGTCCATGTAAAAATATAAAATTAGAAAAATGGACTTTATGGAATAAAAAGAAAAGTATATGGGACTAATCAGGTTATAATATTCCTTTGGGGACTTAATGGGTTATAACAACTCTAAGATGGATTTATCAATAAAAATCCCAATTTAAATAAGCGAATAAATTGACTTTTTTTCTAATTGCCAAAATAGGCCACATCTCGCCTGATTAAGATTGTTCTGTAATTCATTTTGTAATTTATTTATCAATGGTGTTACACATACTAATTACTATATTAATTAGTGTATCAACACATGCTATAGCATTGTAATTTCAAAATTATAGACCACACTCATTATACAAACTATGTTTACTTAAAGCAATAAAATTATGTCATATCATCCGTTAGCTTACTAATTGATATACCAATTGGTGCGTATAACTTTATTCTTTATTTATGGTAGGGTTGCACACGAGTTGGTTTAGATTGGGTTGACATATCAATCGGTGGCCAACCGAACAGATTTAGATTGAGAAAATTAATATCTGATTTCAACCGGGTGATGGTTTGAAGCTGTCCGTTCATAGGAATAAGATTGATAGTCGGATTCTGTCGGTTTCACGGGTTAGGCTGTGACGATAAAATTAGTTGGGCCGAACCATTAGCAATTTTATTATGAAAATAGACATTTTTCATGATTTTTAATTTATTACCAAGTTAAAATATTAGTAATTTTAAAAATAGAAAATTTTACAATTGAAAGTATAATTAGCAAAAAATATTAAATTTATAATTTTACAATTCTAAAAAACTATCTGTTGGCTACATATTTTGTATAAGCCAATTACAATTCAACGCGTGGCAGAATAAGGGCAATACGGGAGGACTATTCAAGTCTTCGATCGTGATCGTACACATGGCAGTTAGTATTGGTTCTTACAAGATCTGCGTAGCACTGGATCAGCAAAGAGATGCAAAGTGATGTGGCTTTAACGGTTACTCACATTCAAATTCAAAATCAGGAGGGAAGTCTAATTGCATGTAATGGCATAGTGGAGCTAACTATAAAGCAACATGATCAGCGATCATGGAGGAACGATTCGACGGTTAGAAGTGCAGTTCGATGGTCATCCTTGAGAAGTATAAATAGCAAAGAAGGCCCTAGAAAAGCCCTAGACTCAGATCCAGAAAACCAGTTTTATCAAATTTATTTCCTTTCCAGTTTTTACATTTCATGTTCTTTATATTTCTATACTTTAAAATTCCTACACTGCACTTCGTTCATAGGAGTAGTTTCAAGTAGATTGTCGCTGTAAACCTTTACGAGGCTGAATTGGATCATTGTAAGTCTTTCATTTTTACTTAATGAAATGCTACAACTGTTCTTCATTTAATCATTGTTTGCTTAATTCTCCTAAACAAAGCCACCAGTAAAAGTCCTCTTCATTGAGGCTGAAAGAACTAAAACACAATCGTCTGATAATTGGTTTGCAATTAACATTCTGTAAGGACTGATTGATCCTTGCTGGCACGCTCACAATTACAAAAATAACCTTCAAAAGTCAAAAAGCCAACATATATTTTTGGCACGCCTAGTGGGACTAATTGAAATGGCTAGGCGTAGAAAACAAGGAGAAAATGAACGCTTAGAAGAAGGCGTGGAATGAGAGGTTGAAATGCCTAATCTAGAGGATAATGTGATAACACATCCTGTGGAAGCACCCATTTTATAAGAACCTATGGTCGAACAGACCATCACTTCGGAACAAGTACTGCATGTTCATAATATTGGACGAGGCCAAGGAATTGGATCATCCACTGTTCCATCTACTCAACCAATGAATCCATAGGGTGGCCTAGTAGATGCCATGAGATAGCGGTTAATGAACACAATGGAAAAGTGGGCAACATCCTTTTTGGATCGAATGAATACCCACTAACCAACAAACACAAGACACATGGAGGAAATTTCAAATGTCCCTCAGCAAAGATTGGCTAGAGATAAACAGCCTATGCAAACTAATGGACATTCTAATGGTCAAACTAGTAATCAAAACTATGAAAGACTATCACCTCAGTCTTGGTATGAGCCTATTTCGAGGCCTATAGCAAGTCAAAATGCCTCATTGCTTAACAGTGAAGCTATGCAAATTGGTGGATCTGGCCCAGTACAAGAAAATGGTATAAGGTGGTTCCAAATCCCATGTTCAAAGCCATACCTAGCATGAGGGGGTTCACTAACCCTTTATTCGAATTTATACCGGGGGGTTGGAAGGTTTTCCTATAACTGGAAGAGACACAGCACCTGTTCCAGCACCTTTCGCAAGTCCTTTTGCAGGATAGACTCAAAGAGGTCATTCATACCCTCAACAGCAGCCGGCACCACAAGGACAACCAGTCCTAAACATACCACCCTATGGACCAAGAAGACCCCAGTCACAAGGTTGTCCACTAAATCCTGTGTTTGTTCCTCCAGTAGTGGTTCAACAGGCACAAAATATGGTTCCTAGGGACCAAATTGTTAACATTGTTAGAGAGATGTGTGGACCAATGGCTCGGGGGGTTCAGACTCTTGTGTACAGGAAATCGTACCAAGAATGGGTAGATAGGGTACATGAATACTCAAGAGATTTTAGGATACCAGATTTTGCCCTTTTTTATGGGAATGGAAACCAGTCAATGGTTGAGCATATTGCTAGGTTTGCGGCTCAGTGCGGTGAATTTACCAATAATAACTATATGAAGTTAAGATTATTTCCAAATTCTCTAACTAGGAGAGCATTTGCATGGTATATTAACCTTACACCTGGCTCTATCCAAACTTGACAACAAATGGAAGAGCCATTTCATGCCCAATTCTTCCAAATAGAGCCAGAGGTTTCCATGGCAGACTTGGCAAGATTGAGTCAAAGGCCTGATGAGAAGGCTACTCAATTTATTGCTAGATTTAAAAGAGCACAAAATAAATGTAGGATCATCTTACCAGAGCCTGAATTCGTGAGATTAGCTCAAAATGGTCTAGAGTTTAGGCTTCGAAAGAAGTTTGACTCAATTGAGTTTAGAGACTTAGTGGAATTAACCTATAAGGTGTCTAGGTATGAAGCATTACCAGAAGAAGAACAAGATCGAAGTAATGCATCGTACAAGACGTATTATAGAGATCCTAATTATGAGAATGATGCAGCAGAGATTGTAGAGAAAGAACCTGTGATCAGTGAGGCATTAATTCATAAAGATACAACAATTGATCAGC